GCGTGGAATATCCTCTAGCATGCTTTTCTGATATTTGAATCCTCCAGGCCGCGGGGGTATAATGTAAGAAATGATCAAAAATTTTGAGCCGAAATTACACATTGGCGGGTACAGTTTTTTGTCGATATACATGCGCACGCCTGTGGGAAAATGGATAGTGAATCGAGGTATTTAAGAACTGGTGGTGGTCCAAAACTGGCATCCCGAAGTTCCCACCAATGTGTAGTACGAATGCCCCAAAAGATAGAAGCCAGTCGCAATAGTCACGTATTATTGGAAACACAACTGTGACACAGCCGGAGTGGATAAGACGCACAATGCAATTTACTGTTGTAGTAGAGCTGAAAGGTCACTACGGTGTTGATTGCCAAAAGCCAAAACCGCTTTGAAGTGGTGTTTCATTTTTGGAGGTCTCTTGGGATGTTCACATTCACAGCAAGTTCCGCGAGACTAACGATGTATTTGATATCCAACACAAAGAAGGCACAGAATCTCACTGAAATGACAGAATTCGGAGTGAATTGTATTTTTAAAAGACTTAGATGTTCGTTTCCGCAGGTGCGAACTCCAACTCATAAGGTCACCGTACTTCGCGCTCAATGCCGAACAGCAGTATTACATATCGCCGCTTCCTGCGAATTCAATATTCACACGCCGATTCGAGACAACCCCGAGTCCTTTTCGGAGATATTACCTCCATGACCCACCTGAACGCCCTTTTGATCACGCAATTCCTTATGGTGGTGGTCCACACAGCAGCCGGAGCCGTCTAGGAGGTCCAAGAGGCCCAACGGCGACACTGACCAGCTTACAGTGAAGTCCGAGCTTCAGTGGGTTTGTGCTAACAATAAAGAGCCGACTGCCAGGAGGGTCAGTTTTAGGGCGCGGCGAGCGTCCAGCAACGATGCAACCGAAGAAAGGAAAAATGCATGTTAATGGCACGTTGATGCAAATCCATATCCATGACAATGGTCTTAAATTAAGCCAGCCGTGCTTTGGTGCAAGTACCTTCCAAGCACACAGTAGTCTCGTAGCCCATTGATATAGCACATCGCACTACCAAAAAAAGGAGAAAGCTGCACTTTTGCGAACACACATTAAACATACTTCGTCAAAGTTCTGCCCGCTAAGGACAACAAAAACACCCGAACCCGTTAACTTTGTACACGTTTGAATACGGGTTATTTGGCCCTTGTTTTCCTAGTGCGAATTGTATCGGGCAGCCTAGTTATGGCTAGCACGAAAGCGCACGTTTGGGGCGCAAATTGGGCAGCGCCTCTGCCCAACTGGCTCAAAGCATGTCCTCCTGAATCCCTTGCGTTGACCTGCAAATGGCAGATGGCATTGAGGTGTCACCGACAACCTCGCAGGAAATAACCGCTAACCCCGATGGACGATCGACAATCAGTTGGCACGACACCCTTTTCCTTCCCAATCTACCCACCAGCGCTCCGTTTCTTGGCGGGAACAACTCTGACCTGCAGCCAGGACGACGGCCACAGGTATCGTATTTGCACAGTGATCCCGTCGCTGGCATCAAAGCACTATCAGGGGCTTGCTTGGGCTGGTCACAGGGAATGTAGGAGCCGCTAAATTCCCGCCTGCGCAAGTCTGTGTGAGCGGAAATTACATGAGACACTCTGAGCTTCTCATAACTAGTTTTATATTCTAGTACTGTAGTATTTTAGTGTGGCGCCACAGTACCGTGGCCCCAAACTAAAATATTACAGTACTAGAGTTCTTCTAGTGTTCTTCTTTTGTGGCACCATTCTAATTCGAGTTGCCCACAACAGATCAGGTCAATCGTGTTTCAAGGTGCCCATCAATTGACACCATGACCTGTTGAGACTTCATGGTACGGCGCCAAGAGCTGTTTCGAGCCTTGGGCGCAGCAACTGAAAGTGTTGCATATCTATGGTGCGCCTCGCAACGGCGTCACATCCCTTGGGGTGCAGTACCCCACCAAATCTGGGCACATGCACTCCAGCGTATTAACTCCCAGTACTGCAAAAGGGAAAGAGCCGTCGCACGATTCTTCAAGTGTTGAACAAGAACAAATTGTTATGGGCTGCCTCCCCCATATGAAATAGTATGAGATTTGACATTTTGATATTCTCCAGTATCGTTCTTTTTAGAATCGATTCCTGCATGATTAATTGATCTCACGGCGCCTTGCAGACATGTTACGTACAGCACATCGCTTTGCAATGAGACTTTCCACACCATTGAAATCTATACTGCAGCAAAGCACAGTATGGATTTTGGGACCTAAATTTTTTTCTTTAAAGAAAAAGAGAATCGCTGTATTTCGGCAACATGCAACCAGTTCAAAATAGTCAGATGGATTTGAATGTCGGCAACATGATAATCGCATGGCCTATATTGTGCTGTCGAAAAACGTCAATGCGTTGGGGAGATTATTAATCCAGATATCATCAACATCAAACTGTCGGCAAGTACATATAGTGCCTTGCTAAACACCGCACGTACTGTATAATGTAGACACTAATAACGAAAGAGCTTTTCCTGGTGCGGTATGGTATGGTACAGTTAAACGGTTCTCAGCAACGAACAACTATGGATCCTTGCAAGGAGCTGTCTGTATCAATGCGCTGCACACTCGTAGGTATGTCCATGTACTTCGACGGCCCCTTGAAACAGCAGGGCGGCCCAGAATTCGTCGCTCCACGTGCCCACATTCGATGCATACAAAACTCCAACAGTCCGCGTAATTAATTATCTATAATGTTGTAGATGCATTCATGCTTTTATCAAGTGGATTTCGCAGACCCCCAAAGCACAACGGTCCTTCTGGCTATGTGTCTGTGATTGTGTGCGCTCACCTGTGCCTCCAAGCCGTGGACATGCCTGCCTCCGACACTGTCCCACCCCGACACCGGGCGGCACCAGCCAACTTGGGGTTGGCCGTCGCCCATGCGGTGCACTTGCCGGAAAAATGCGCCAGACACATGTGGCCCATTCAGTCGTGCCCGACATCAAACATTTGGCCGCCGCCTTCGCTCAGCTGAATCATCCGCCTCGTCGGGGATGACGCACCCCCACATCCACCATTCCCCGCCTCGCTGTCCGATTGTCGCAATCCATGACTGCATACAGACACCAAATCCGTACCACGGCCGCCCCCCTCCCCTCTACTTAACCCCAGTAATCCCCGCGGATACGCATCCCTGGCCCACACGAGGCCCCTTTTAGGCCACTGGGTCAACTTTCCGGTACCCTTTTGGTCCGGAGATCCGCTTGCCGGTCCCGCCCCGCCCATCAGGGAAGTATCCCGTGCACACTTGTGGCTACCTTCGGCCGTGGGTGCTTCCCCCACCCCCCCCGGGGCCCTTCCCTCCTCGCCCCGTTTTGTCCCCCACCCCCCCTCCCCCACCCCAAGCGCAAGTCCCAGCCACAACCGCACAGGGCGCCACGCAGGGAGGGTACCAAGCGTCGGGCCGCCCAGGCTGGTCGCGCGATCCCGTTGTCAGCTGTGGTGAATCTGCGCGGACTCGGAGCCGGACAAGCCCCCCCTAGGCCGAGCCTTGATAGGTGCGCGGCCTTGAAATGTGACCCGCCCCCCCTACCCATTCCTCGGTCAAGCTGGGGCGCTCCTGGGCCGCTAACCGGGGGCGCGAGGGGTTATCGGATGGTGCCTGCCCACGAAGGAGTGCTGGAGGCGCCTGATGCCTCGATTTTGGCGAAAGTCGTGGCGCGCCCTGCTGTGGGCGGCCGGGGGTGGGTGGGGGTAAAGGGGTTGCGTCCGACGCTCGGTGGGCCGCGGGGCGCAGCTGTTGCGGATCGGGTTACGGATCGGGTTGCGTCGAGCCTCCGCGCGAGAAGGTGCCGAACCTGCTTTCCGCGCACGTGCGACACCAAATGCACCGCAAGCTAGCTTCACGGCCGCCGAAGGGCGCCAGCGATCGCGGCGCGAGGGATCGGCGATCTTCGCGGGTCTCATTCTCTCTCCCATGGGGCGCCGCCGCGCGGGAATGGCTCCGAAAGTCGGCCGGGTCGATCTCCCTCGCCTGGCATGAGCGATGGCCGCTCGGGGGTTGACTCCAGTCGGGCGTGCCGCTCTTTCTGGCCGCCAGTTGTTTGGCGGCGGATGCGGCGGACGATGCGGGCATCTTTTCGCCGGACGCCCCCTGGGGCGGGGCTTCCCGCCGACGATTGAGGCTCGCCGCGCCGCCGTTGAGAAACGTTTGCCCCGCGGACTGGCTAATTTGCGGAGATGCCGCTGACCGCCGTTGGCATTACACACATCTTTGTGCCGGGACGTGCCCGTTCCCTTGGCGCTGTGAGCCTGCCACACCACATTGCGCTTCACGGGCGACAACACCTCGTGCGCTTTCCCTCTCGAAGGGAGCGCCGATCGTGCGGCAATTGTGCTGCCGCTCAAAATCCCGCAGCCCACGGCTTAGCGCTCTTGGCCACCGGGACTTGGCCCTGCGATCCACCCCCGCTCAAGTGCCTCCCCCGAGACGCATCATCCTGTGCTGCACCCTTTCGACCCCCGGCCATGCCATGCCTTTGGCTTCTGCAACTCGCCCACCGCCTAGCACCGCCCGCGCCTGCTAAAAGGGTCTCCCGCGCTCGTCGCTGGCTATGCCAGCCGCGTTCCAGGACAGCGCGTCCGCGTCGTCCTGGCATCGCGGAAAGGTGCGACGCCAAGCTCTTGCTCAACAACAATGGGGGCGCCCTTGTCCGTGGCGTTTGCTCGAAAACTCAGCTGTTCGTTCACGCGACAATCATTTTCCTCCCTGCGCCCGAAAGCCCCTTTGGCCGAACGCGAACCACGGTCCTCGAAAATCGATTCGGCTCTGCGGCCGAAGTCCGTTCTCCTGGCCTGAAGGGCGCAACTGCAGTGTGCTGTGCCGTTCTTGCGTCCGGGTCAGCAACCGGGGATGACTGGATCTGGCTGCGGCGATCCGCTCCTGACGCCCCCTGTTGTTCCAGGGGTGCGCGTGGCGGCGCGGCGGCTGGCCGCCACGGCCGGCATGCATTTGTTCTTCTTCTGGCTGCGCTTCTTCGGCTACAAGCAACCCATGGACGGGTCGGATGACGAACAGGCGTCCACGATCTTCGGCCGCCGGCCTTCCCAGCCCCGCACGAGCATCATGTACAACCCGGACGAAGTGCGCAACATCGACAGCGCAGTGGTGCCTCTGTGAGTGGGGGGTCGCGGTCTGTGGGTGGGGTCAACGGTTTGAGAGACGGTTTGATGGTACCGAATTTTGTGTGCGCAATTCATTCGATTGCACACTGTGGGTCCACACCCTTCCGCATGGCAACGTGACGCTTGGCATTTTCTCGCGGAGAAGACAATAATTTGGATAACGCTCTTTCGGTAAAATTTATGCGGAGCAGCGTAAAGGTAATAAAAATAACACTCTCAAAACAAAATGCGGAGCAAAAAGCATAGCAGTAGAATTTCCCTATGCGGGTTAGAGAACCAACAGTACTTGTCACCACGTGACAAGACAGGTGCTTTCACCAAGCTGGCGATGTCGAGTGGTGAATGCAGGCATAATGCATTGTCCCCAAAGCATGTGTGTGTCCACGAGTTTGTGTGCGCGTTTGTGCATGCTGATGCACAGGAACTCAGTGGTTGGATTGTGGCAATACCTTGGGTTCTCATGAAAAAAGTCATGGACGCTGCTTTGCACAGGCAAAACGGGGAGCTCATGGCTGCCTCCTCACCTCGTTGCATAAGAATTCTTGATGATGAGATACGGTGTAAATCACGGGATGCATTGTCGCAGTTCATTGGTCCAACTTTGCTGCTTTTGCCCCTGCTGTCCTGAAAGTTAAGCTGACCAAGGAAGATGGAGGTCAGTACTATCTTTAATTGGGAGGTGCAAGAAGGTCACCTGGCAACGGAAAATACATTGTACTGCATTTTCTTACTCTTACGGCACTGAATGGCATTTTCTCATCGGGAATGAAAATCCCTGACAGGTATCCTCATTGCAAATAAGAAAGTGCTTGGTGAGGAGCCATTTGTGTGCTTGCCTGGGCCTTGACACAAAATGTGCTGTGTCTTTGTACTGTCCCGGTGACCTTTGAAGCATGGCCACCCCTTTGAATCCAACTCCCCGATGGTGCTCTAGCATCGTCCGCCTTACTGTGATTGTGGACTCTGGCCAAAAACACTGCCCAGTTTTCCAGCACACACCTGTGCCCCCTGCTTTTTTGTGTCTTTTGTGCCTCTTTGTTTCGATCTTTTCTGATGACAATCTATTGGCCTGCTGCCTGCCTGGCAGTGATGGGGACTTGGCATCGGTGCGAAGGAGCACACACCGCCGCTCAGCTATCGACTTGGTCAGAGGCGAGCTGGGTGCCACCGCAGATGTCAGGAGGTCTATGGACAATGCTCCAACCCGGCAGAAGTTCATGGCAGCACCGCTGAACACATACACAGACTTCACAACCATGCACGTTGGGAGGTGGGGCTGCAGATGCCACAGATGTCGTGTTCCCTGCATTAAACCTGCCCTGTGCTACTTGCTTCCTGCTGTTCATTGAAGCTCGTCTCCTGCCTGGCTGCATATGTTTTTGGCAAATAAATCATGTGACTTACACTAATCAATCCACAGTGGGCATATTCTGCTGCCAGACAAGATGTTTTCTAGCCAAGAGGAGTTTAATGACTAGCTGTTGGTGTATGAATTGTGGAAAATTCGATCAACTCAGCGTGATGGAACTGAGAACAATGGAAGGTGGGGTTGGCAAACGCTGCTATTTTTAATTCCTCCTATCGTATATTCTGCAGCAACTTCAAGCAATTTCATGCAGCAACAGTTGCCTTGGAGTGTGGACTGGGCCATGCACATGTGTGGACTTTCTAACAACGGGTTTCTGTTGACTTTTAAATGTTCCGAGTACATGACAAGTACCTATTTCAATTGGAACAAATAATCTCCCTCTTTTACGCAAGAAATACCCTGTTGGCTATAGTGCAGGGCATGAGTGGTCCTTTTGTCCATTGGATGTGCCTAAGATAGATCAGACAAGCGTGATTCATCACAGATCTCTCTTGCTGATCTGGATCGGTCAGTGTTGGTCGTTGGTTCAACTCTGCAGGTTTTTTAGCTGCAGTTTGATGTGGGATTTTCGTGTCAGTTGCCCTGGTGCTTGTATGCCAGCCACAGCATTAACACAACACAGCCATGCAACTGGAGGAAGGAAGTAGTGCAGAAAGCCATCTGACAGTGAACAGATGCCCTTGACAAAACAGCTGCCACGTGTTCTTTTGGCAGCTGGCAAAGGAGTGTGTGACGTATCATGTCCCAACAAAAGCACTGGAATCTATTTTGAGACTGTAGGACAAATGCTTCGCACGCTTGCCACGCTGTTCGATGCAACAGCTCTGCACGATCAGAAGGACAAACAGAAACTCGCGTCACAGTGAACAGACATCCAGACCAAGCATACAAAATTGGTATATTTCATGTACCATTTTGTGCCACGTGATGCATGGTTGCTCACATTTGCACATGCAATGACGATGGAGTTTTGCATGTGCACTAACAGGTACAGTATCAGTGCAGATGAGCAAAAGAGTAGCCAAGAGTAATCGAATCGTGCCTTAGTCAGGGAGCTGGTGAGTCACCAGTGGTGATTGCTTTTCGCTTCTTTGGATTCATGGATTGAGTGATTGTTTGCAGGCTGACTAAGATCGTCAGTGCCACCCACAAGTTTACTGGTGCCGAGGTTGCAATCAAGATGTACGACAGGACAACATTGTCCAGCGATCAAGAGAAGGAAGTGGCAAAGGAGGTGCAGATACTGAGGAAGGCGAAGGGGTGAGTGTGGCATGTCAGGAGCCAAAACAGCTGTTGACAAAGCACCCCCTGGGCGCAAGTATAATGATTTGTTGCAGTCTACAACCAATCCAACAAAGCGCTTCCTCCAGTCAGAAAGGTTGAACAACGATGCCAGTACTCGATCGGATGTCCAACCCAGTGGTGCAATTGGAGTGAGTTACCACCACCCAGAACTCAGGTTTCGTCTGGCAGGCTCGTCTGGAAGACTAATGCTGCCCATTGCTCTGCTGAAGGCCCTCAACGTTGCCAAAATTGCAGCACCACTCGAGAGAATCACTGTTGGCGTGTCCGTCCAGGCCATCGTGCCTAGTGTGAAAAGGCAGCAGTGTGGTGCTTTGGCCAAGATTTCTAGCCCTTTTGTGATACGCGCAGGACAGGCTTACCTGTGCGGGTTTGGCCCAATGCTTTACACCCGTTTCAATGGAGCACTGAAAGGAGCGGCATCCGGTGCTAGTGCTCACCGTCACCGATTTTTGGAACTCCATAAAACATTTGGTGCAGCAACAAGCCGAGATGTCTGGGATCAGCCCTTGCCAGAAGTTTCCAGAGATTAACTGTGGCATCGCTTTATGCGTCAAGGACCACCGTGTAAGTGAAAAAGTTCACGCGGGAAAATTTTCCCGCACTTGTTGGTGCGCGAACTTTTTTCCCCCGCGAAAACTTTCGCCGCGCCAACATGGCAGAACGGGGCTCCTGCTGCCCCCAGCCGCGGGTGGCGCAGTTTCTTATTGTGCCGCGCCACCCCCCGGCCGCCGTCCTGACCCTCCGGCTTCCGCAGACGAGTGGCGCGAGCGGCCTGCGGCGAACCAGCGGCTAGCCCCGTGACGCCGCGGTGGCTGGGCGCCGCATGGGGTGACGCCCCATGCCAGCGACCCGGCGACGGCAAGTCATCGTTCCAACGCATGCCAACATGCAGGCAGGCCCCTGACGCAAGCCCTTCCCAAAACGCTATGAGCGGGGGCGTCCCCGTTCATGTAAAAGTTGTCCGCAAGCGAGCACGCGAACACCGGCAGCGACACGCCCCGCGCGTGATTCCCAATCCCTCCGACTGCTTGGCGATTTCGACCATGTCTGTCGCCGGGGCAGCGCAAGACATTCTCAGGCGCCGGTGCTTCCCGTCGGTGTCGGGCAATACTCGCTGGCCCGACAGCACTTTCGCGACCATGTGGTCCTTTCGCGACCCTGACAGTTCTGTCGCCAGGGCAGCCCAGACGCTCTCGGGAGCTGGTGCCTCCCGTCGGTGTCACGCCGATCTCTGCTGTTCCGAAAGCGCTTTTAGCGACCATGCCACCCCCGGATTGGGCCTTCAAACCCGTAACCCGAACCAACGGTCGCGGGCAAAAAAAGTTCGCGGGGCCAAAACGTTCCCGCGGAAAGAAGTTCGCGCTGTTGCTTGAGCGCGCAATGCGCGAACTTTTTTCCCGCGCCCACTTTTTTACTGACGCAGTATCTGCACCACTGTGAACCTGAAGCAGATGGCATTCCCTGATACAAGAGCGTCCCTCAAACACTTTTTGCCAGCCTTTAAGATGGAACATTTCGATGTGCAATTGTGGTGTTTTAGAGTCTGTACAGTGTGCGTTCTGGCATGCTGCATGGACAGCATGAGAAAACTTTTACAATGGCAGCCGTTGAATCCCTCACCAGGTTGGCCCCGTGTACAACCTTTCCTGGCGATCTAACTGATCCTATGCTTGGGGAGGAGCACAGAATCCATTCAAAGGTTTTGACAGTGGCTCTTCCAACTTCAAGCGTTTGATCTGTGGTGGCAGCGCATTCCAAAGCCACCCTTGATTGTGAACTCAGCCCTGCATGCTGTTGGACAGTCGAAGCGACAGTGAATTCGAAGATCGCGTGGCACCAAACGTGGTTTCCACACTATTCCCTTTCTGCAGAAGCAGGGCTGGCCTGCAACACAGTTTGCCACATGCTCGTGATGTGTGCAATCAATCTTTTCACAAACAGTTGCTGTGAGCCATAGGCCCCTGGCACAGACCCTATCAGCTGTGCCTGCAGTGCCATGCAGTTGCCATGCCCACCCACCCACCTTGTGTGCAAAATGATTTGTTGTTCCAAGGCACAATTTGTCTTGATTATGGCGACCCAATGTGCTTAATACCGTGCCAGAATGTGTTTTCAATTGTGGTAGGCTTACATGAACAGTCAGCACCCCAATTTGTTCAAATGACAATTGAATGAGTGATTCGACTTGACGGGTGTGCAGCGCCAGCGGCATCGTGGAGATCGAAAAGTGTATCGAGGATGACTACATGACAGCGATTGTGCTGTGCTGCTGTACGGGGGGCAGCCTGGCGAAGCGGTTGGAAGATGCTGGCGGCAAGATGTCGGAAGCAATGGCTGTGCGGGATGTTGTGAGGCCTCTAGTTGCCGCCCTGGCTTGGCTGCATGAGCACAATGTGGTGCACAGGTGCCCTCTCACCAAATTTTGTGCAGTTTGTTGTGTGGACACAACGACAAATTAACGATGAGATTCATGACTTGGTGTGTTTGCACCCTGAAAGCACTGAACGTGCAGCCATTGTTGTTCATGTTGATTATTGCAGTTGTTGTTGTTTTGATTATGTTATATACTAATATAATTGGTGTTTATGTTGATGCTGTTGTTGATGTTTATTGTTCAGTTGCATTCAGCTCAGTGCCTGACAAAACCAGGCCCGTGCAGCTCACAGGCGTTGGCTTGAACAACAAATTCTAAAATGTTTGTTTGTTTTCTACTTGCACAGTTCCGCATGCCCTGAGCAGCTTTTCTTCAGCTTTTCTTGCTCCTTCTCTGTCATTTGCTCTCTCTTTCTTTCCCTGTCCCTTCTTCATCTTTGTTTCCTTGTTTACATCTGTATGGATCCAGCAGCCAGAAAGGTTGGTTGGGTGAGGGAGGACAGGCAGGGCAGGCACATGGCTGCTGCCCTGTCTGGGAATTGAGAACATGGCCTACCACTCACGTACTGTTAAAAGAAACATCAATGCAAGACTTGGCACTTGGTACTAATTTGCCATCCCTGCCTATACCCAAAGGGTGTCAGGTGTCTGGTCCCCCTCTAACCCATTTGGCCTTGACTTTGCCTCTGCCTCTCTTGCTGGTTCTGTGCTTCCAAATGTGCATAGGCACCCGATTGCTCTTCCTTCTGCTGCAGTTGATTCGGAAATTCGCAAAGCAAACTGCCACAACGCAGTTGCAGTGCTGGGCATAGGTGATGCCAACCCATTGCCCCCCCATTGAATCATCCCAAAACCCCAGACCTGGTTTCCAAAGCATCTCCAAAACGCTCTCAAAAAAATACTAAGCAGAGTCCAAGAGTGGCTTGAAACTATCCGAACAATGCATTTCATAATGCTGCAGGCCAGGATTCAGACGGATCTGAGGACGTCATCACTGGTGCCTCTCTGAACAATCTGGAACAAAGTTCCACTGTGTCTCTCGGCTTACTTTCTGGATGCACTTGTGGCTTTGTGCCCAGGGACCTTAAGCCAACACACATCCTGTATGACGAGTACAATGGACTGCATATCACAGACTACTTCTCTGCCGCCATCATGGGCAAGACAGACCTAACCCTTCGCGAGGGCACCCTTGCCTACATGGCGCCTGAAGTGGTATCCAAACCGGCAGACTATGAGATGTTGCATAAGGTTCTGGATGCTGGGCTCTCGGATACGGAGCTGGTGCGGTACGATGAAAAAGTGGACATCTGGTCGCTGGGGGTGATCGTGATTGAGGTTCTGACAGGTCAGTGGGTGGATATGGTTGAGAACAGCCATCTTTATATTCTCGCTAATTGATTGTTGCTTGAATTGCTACTAAAAGGCATCACATCTCGTTCAGAAGCCCGCATGCTGCTTTTGGTTGCAACATAACATTTGGAATACGGAAGAACAGCCATTCGTGGGGTTGTTTTCCGTACGTTGGTGGTGATGCAACCTTCTATGCAGAGGGACGTCCTCGTCGGTTGTCGCATATTTGGCTCATCCAAACATCAATCAGAAGGTGTAGGCATGCTCTCTCCACACAGTGGAGACCCGACAACATCAAAGAGGCTGGATACTCGTCCCTGAGTGTGGCCTATGTTTTCAGGATGTGGCATTGCGACTTTGGCCTGTTTGTCTGTCAGTGGCATGTTTGGGAGGAGTTGATTGCCAGCTCAAAGGCCTGCTGCCCCAACCCAGGGCATTGGGTGCTTATGAGTGGAACAGCACAAAGGAAAGACTTTCAAATGCATAATACAAAAAGGGATCTGAAAAGGGAATAAACACAAAAAGGGAACAGGACAAAGAAACTACAAAAGCCAGAGAAAGCTGCAGAAACAGTTTACAAAGAAATGTGAAGGAAAGGAATAAAAACACATCAAAGGGAAGCAGGCAACAACTTGCAACGCAGGCAGATGTGTTGCCAGAGTAGGTACTGTAGCCAGAGAGTGCTTGCAACCTTGCCCACCCTTCTCTTGTATGGTGATGCAATGGAACACCGCTGGCTGAACGTCGAGGGCAACTGATCCTGCTGCTGGTGGGAGTGCAACTGAGGAGTGTTGGGCTGGAGCCAGCAGCTCTGACTGAACTAGCACCCTTTGGGCAGACTGACAGCAGCGCCTACTATTGGACTTAGCATTTGGTTGTTGGTACTTGGACTAATAATTAGCTTTCTCAGCACTTGTTCTAATAGGGCATGGCTTTTGAGTACTATTGCCTGTAGCAGCTCTCAGCACCCGCAGGACAGCCAGTTTCTTGGATGCTTCTCGCGTTTGTCAGGTTCTGAACGTGTGAAGGTGTCCACAGATTTTAGTCCTGCAGCTCGTGATTTCTGAAACTTTCAATGTCCAGCACTCCTTTTTGGTGCTTTGCACTGCAGGCTCATGAACCTCTGAAGTTGGGCTGTCACAGAATGTGTATCTCGATTTCCTGCCTGCCCAGCTGGCTGATGGATGGTTGGACGATTGTCTGCTCTATGCGCGATTGACTGGCTGGCTAAATTGCCTATTGATATGTTGTTTTTCCAATTGATTGGGCTGACAGGACACCAGCCGTTTCTGGCAGACAGCCCGGAAAAGATGATGGCTATGCAGAAGCAGGAGTTGCAGGGTGACCGCTGGGGAGGGGTGCTGGATTTCATGCGCGACCAGGAGGTCCTATCTCTGCCAGGTCAAGACTTTCTGTCATCGATTCTCAAGATCAATCCCAATGAGAGGCCCTCTGCCAGGACGCTGATGGGCCACAAGTGGCTGGCGGAAAATGTGGAAGAGAATGGGTCCCAAAAAACCCCAGAGTCTCCAAAGTCCCCAAAGTCACCAAAGTCGCCAAAGTCTCCAAAGTCTCCAAACGCCCCAAACTTCCCAATGTCTCCTGAAGTTCCCAAAGTACAGAACTAAAACAGGTCCTGAAGCAGGACCAAAGTTGGCAAGGATGGCATGTGAGCTCTGCTCTTTGAGTAATTGACGATCGGTTGGGTGGAGGGGAATGAGTGGCCCAACCTATGACTGGGGATGCGTTGGGACCTGAGGAGAATGCAAGCCTGGGATTGAGGGCTGGCCCTGGCTCTTGTCACAATTGTTGGGCTCAGTGTTTTGCCTAACTGGGACTGAGGCCTACCCTTAGATGTGGGGACTGCCTGTTGGGCAGTCGACTCAACTGGGTGCCGTTGATGTGCATCCCTTGGAATGGCGTGTGCTTGCAGCTGAACAGCAGGAGTTAACACACGATTGTTGGCTGATTGCAGCGGAAGCGGTGTTGAGCTGGGCAGTTCACTCACTGCCAAGAGTGCTCTGGAATATTTTTTTGTACAATATGTCGGTCATCTGTGGTGGGCGTGCATCAATGTGGGGCGGAAAACCTGCCTCACTTTTTGTGCACTTTTCTCACATTTTTGTGGGCTTATCTCACATTTTTGTGAGTGTTAATTGCATGAGCATGGACAGGGATCAAGGCTCTGTGACCTGGGCCCTGGGGTCCTTTCAAACCGCTTAGATTTGCGGGTGAAAGGCAGATGGGTCTTCATGAATTGTGTGTCTGTGTGCAATAGTGTTGGCCGTGAAGGAATGGATTTGTTGCTTTGGCAGGCCTGAGTCACAGGGGCCAGACCTGTGGCATTGAATGAGGACCATTCTTTATTCTGGACAGGATTCTTCAGGCACGATTTTGTTTGCTGTCCGAACCCGCCTGCCACGAAACCAAGGCCCGACCTAACTTGTGCCCACCGGGCCTTTAGGACATTGGGACCTGGTACGCTGGCAGCGGTCGTGATCGCAGAGGGGCGTGCTGAACGTGTGAATCATGGACTCGTTGATAGGAGTGTGGCTGCTTGTTCTTTGCATTTGGTGTTCGATTGGGGTTGGGCGTTGCTCGGGGATTGGGCTGTTGGGATTGGCCACTGGGACTGGCCGTTGTCAAGTCGTTGAGAGTGGGGGTAGGCGTGCCTGGGGGCCTTGGTGCTGTCCTTAGAACGCAATAGTCAATACTTGGTGAAGCGCCGCTCTTGTGCCCGCGCAGCAGATATGGATGTTGTGGCGCGCGGCACGGGCGAGCCGCATGGGACGGGATGTCCAGTGTACTGTTACGCGTGTAACCAGTCAAGGGGAATGTGAAGGGAAGGTGTCAAGCAGACGAAGTGAACCAGCAGCGCTCGAAGCCACCAGGTCCAGCGGCTGGGACACACCCTTGAGCCTCCCGACCATTCTTCACAACCGAATCCCGTTGCCGTACTTCGTGTGCCCGTGCCTGCCAGTGCTGTGTACTCTTTCATTGTGATCTCCATACTTTATAGTGCTTTCCCTTGTGGATGCGCCCGTCCAGGCTGGGCCGTGAGCTTGGGTCACGTGAGGGCTGCAGGTGAACTTAGAAATATAATAGACAACAGTGCCTCGGCGGTGATGACACTTGTGTGCTGATCGAGTATTTGGCGGAATCGCCACAGTCTCTGACCACAAGGCACTCGTCAGATTCTCTGCTGTTTCTTTTCATTTTGTGCGCACACACAATGTCACCCAGCATTGTATGATAACAAAAGAAAAATTTCTCCAGTGTTCTTAGAGTGCTTATGTAGTGTCTTTCTCGAGATTCGTCCTGTCTCCCTCTTCCGTAAGCAAAAGACGTCCAGCCAACCTTCTCGGCTTGTTCACAAGGAGCTGAATGTTGGATATCCTCAAGAACGGAGTTCATCCCTGTTTCAGAGCTCGTTTTCCTTCTTTTGCCAAGCAATGCGGTAATCTGCCCATTACTAATGTTGGTAATTGCTGCACGGGAAATCTTTGCTGTGATCACACAACTGTTTGACAAGGGGCCTTTCCGAACGTCTTTACCGCGAATCGGAGGTGGTTTGGTCCTCTTCTTACCTGACGCGGACTTGCAGTAACGCAGTCTCTGGGCGTTGCAGGTCGTGCTCCGTCAATCTGATGTTGAACGTGAGGAAATCGACATAATGCCTTCCCTAAGATCCCTGAACGGCTACACTAGCCGCGAAAAGTAGTCCTGCCCCCGGTGGCCACGAGTGCGATGGGGAAGTTTGCAAAAAGCCACCAAGTAGACCAATCGATTCATGATGATCGCATGAAGGGAAAAGTATTCGGCAGCATTGAATCACAGAAGGGACAGCCAGTGTTCTTCTTCTTCACCGTCATTCATTCTTACGCAGCATGTAAAGGAGGTAGCCGCCAGAAGGGACAGCCGGCTCCCGCATGTCATTGCAAATGTCATCAAGACGTTCAGTTGCTCATTTGATGCCCACAAGGCGCTGATACGCCACGTTCGGGGCGGGACACTGTCGGAGGCAGGCATGGCCACGGGCTCGGGAGACACAGCCCAAAAAAATGAGAGTTGCAGACAGATCGCTGAAGGCCACGTCCCTTTATGCTCAAACGACCACCTCCCCAGCATGGACCGGTCACTGTTGTATCAGCGTCTGCACATCACCGAAAGACGCCATCAAGATGTTGATCTACGGGCTTAATACCTGCGCAGCACCCACGCTACCAGTGAGAGCGCTGAGAAGGGAAGGCCCGAATCATCATTGTGAGAACGAAGTAATTTAATTATTTCGCCCTCACAATGAGGTCAATTACTCAACTAATATAACTGAGGATTGATGTGAAATGCGGTGTGAATTAACGTGGCGATCGTATTGCGAAAAGGGTGGAGCTAATACGGAGACGTGGGGAGTACGGTTGGGCGCGCTGGTAGGAGGTTCTTTCACGAGTGCACTCATCCTGTAATCCATCTGGTTGCGGCTTGGCTGCGCGTGTCCGGGAGCGACCTTGTGCGAACGTTCTCGGTTTTCTTCTCAATCACCATCAAGAATCCCACATGTCGAGGCGGGGAGGGGGCCATCAGCTCCCACTTTCGCCCGAGGAAGGTCCGAATCACGGAAGGGACGGCCAGCACCCGCACACCACTGAAAGATGTCATCAAGACGCTCATTTGCCCCGGTTAAAGCCACCGCAGCGCCACCTCAACGGACTTCGCCCCTTTCTGACGCCCCACGCCACCCGACCCCCCCTAAATGACTAAGCCATCACCCCGATCCTCCCCAGGGCCCTCGTCCGAATCTCTCTGCGCCAAAATCGCCCTTGCCCGCTCCCAACCAGCCCAGGCCAGCGCAGGGTCCTCCCCCCTCTCCCCTTCTCACCTTTCGCTTCTCCAGCCGTGCTCAGGGCGCCTAAGCTCACGGCGATTGTCCCAATCGGCATCTGCTCTTGGACCCAGGCGCGTTTGAGCGCCAAATGTCGCGCTCCGGCAACAACCGGCACAGCCCGGGCGGCGTGCGCCGCGGGCCGGATCCCTCCGGACTCGACCTGGCCCCGCAGGGTGTCCACCAGGGGCTGGATCCCAGATTCAGGTCAAACACTTTCCCGCTGGTGGGGGACGGGGCCCACGGCGGCATGGCGCACATGTTCGGCAACATGCAGGTGGGCAAAGGCATCGTCTCAGCGCACTGACTCGGATTTTCCCGACCGGAGCAAAGCTACCTGTCGGGTACTTGTCGGCGATGAAGGCCTGGTACACATGAAGGGCCCTTGTGTGGTCGCCGATCGTCCGTTGCGCGCCGCTGTTGGCGCGTTTGCCCGCCAGGCCCGGTTGGCTTGCCCAGCGTCAGCGACAAGCCGCGTGGGCCGCGCGGAGATCTCCCTGGTGCCATTTGGGTTCCCCGGAGCGCGAGTGCATTGCTTCCTTAGTTGTGCGCGGCGTCCTGTGCCTGGAAACGGGCTGGTCTGGCCCGCCAAGGGGTCGACGACCCGTCGAATTCCACATTCCCGTTCATTCATTTTCGAATCCGCATGGGGTCTCACGAAGGCTGTCCGCTAGTCCGCGATGCCGGCAGGCGAGTGGAGACGGGGAGGGCCGGACGGTCTGGCTCCTTTGGCGTTCGCATCGCGATGAGATCCCGCTCTAGATTGCTCCCGTTGCCATTTTGCATCGGCGAGTCCCCTGCCCATGTCCGGCATGGAATGTCGTCGCTTGAGCGGGGCATTCGGCGGCGCCGGGCGGAGACCAAGGGGGGCTGGGGAGGGGCTGGACGTGGGGATTGTTTCGGTCGTTCAGCGGGCCAAGCTGTGGTTAGTTAGGAACCGCCTGGCATCGGAAGCATCAAGTCGGTGCTATGGCCTGTTGCGCGGAGTCCCTTGGTGTCTACGGAAGACTGCAGCAGGGTCCTTGGCGGCCGATGTGCTCAAAAACCGGAAGCAGAGCAGTGAGCTGCAGCATTCTTGACAAAGAGCCGGCAGCCCTGATAAGTGCTCATGTCTCCTTTGTGCCACGTCGTCATGAGCCCATGGAACGTTGCTTTTTCAGCGCACTGAACCCAGTGGCCTGCCTGTGTCACGTGGCGCGAATTCACACGTGTGGCCATGGCAAGTCCCCTTTATCTGGGCCACTGCACTGTCCACCTGAGCCCAAAGGAAGGGTTGGAAAGCGATCCTGCAAGGTGGCATGACAATGTACAGTGATGTGTTGCGGCATGGGCAGTGGGAATTTTGGGTGAAAGACATCAAGTTGCGCAGAGTTTTGACCAGAAACTAGATTTTTGCCTTCTCACACTATATTATCTCCTGTGGGCATTCCTTGCTGGTTGCATTTGTTCGAGGGCAATGGAACACGGCTTCTGCGTCTTGCAGGCATCGCAGCGCAAGTTTGCAGACAGGGTGGCTTGAGAACGTTCGTTGCTCCCCTTAGCATCCAAAGCAGAAGAAAAGGAAGGCAAGAAATTGTCTTGCTGCAAATCAGATTTGTAAAGATTTAATGCATCAGATAATTACGTGGTAGTCATGTACAACAACTGAGTACATTATTGTGCATAATTGTGTAGGAAACAAACAGAACAATCTTGGAACAGATAAGGTTAGGACAACTGTGTGGGGGCAGAGCACCTGGTCTCCTATGTATTGTGCAGTGCTTTATGCAGTGCTTTTGCTGGATATCTCCAGAGCATTTTGCTGCCCTTTACCGCATAGCTTCTAAACGACAGCAACTTAGAACATCACAGGCAGTACATCTTGGGATGGGCAAAGAGGCCTTGAGCAGGTCGCGCTGAACTGAAGAAGCAGTACTTGATTTGTTGTCATTCACTGTTTCTGTGTTGTAGCTTTGATTACTTTTGAAATGTGGTTTCATCGCAGGGTGGCCAGCACACCTGTCACTGGGCACCATCCTCCATGGGTGAAGAGGGTGCCACGAGCCATGCCACATCCCAAACCCATGGCATTCCTAATCTTAATTCTGGCACAGCTGGAAAGCCAGCCAGGAATAGGGAGACTGAGTGGGAGAGGGGAACTGCGGGCGATGCACCACATCGAAGAATCTCCACGTGAGGGGAAAGCGATCTTTGCTTGTTCAATTTATCATCTTAGGCATTGGTCGTTTGTGCTTGCAAATGCTTGCCTTGTGGTTATTGGTTGTTCGTTTATTCAGTTGTTAATTAGTTACTGGGATTATTTAATTAGTGCCATTTTTGTGCCTTCCTGTTCAGTTCAGAACGGCGGAGGAGGAAGCGCATCCCTACGCTGCGTGAGTATGGTTTCCTGTGATGCTCAAGTACCTAATTATGTTGCACCCTTCCATATCGTAACTCAACATTTGGCCCATTTATACAAGGAAATCATAAAACGTAGTGGTGCCAAGAAGATGTGGAACAGCCCCAGCTGCAACGCGAGGGTGTCTGGCCTGCCCGTGGCATTTAATGGCCCCAGATGCATGAGTCGCTGTGGCAGAAAACCAGAATTTGTGGCCATGCGAACTGAGCGGAGTCGCCATTTTGCCTGTGACCATGGTTGGGAGCCCCCAGAATAACGGCCTGTCGAAAAAATGCAGTCGTAATGCTGAAATTTGGAAATGCGGAAGGGTTGAATATACTATGGTGCTGAGCTACAAAGGTACTCTTGCTTTGGTAACATGTCGGGCGAGAGTGCTAGGCTACTGTGACTATGCATTTATAATTGATGCACTCAACGCTGCACTCAGTTGGGCAGCGTTTCAGCCCATGTGCTGCTGATGCAGTGCTTTGGCAGCACGGGCAAATGCACACCTGTCCAGTACTTATCGCAGCACCTCACTGCACCTGTGAAATGAAATACTGCACTAACTATTGTGCAGCATATGGCACGGTTGTGAGGAGTGTCACCGATGCAGTGCTTGGCACAGTGCTGTGCTGTGACGCTGTCAACCTCTCAGTGCTTAGTGCAGTACATGGCCTCGGCAGTGCGGACAGTTCTACACTTAGTGCAATGCTGTGTGCAATTGTGGTGCAGTGCGCAAGTTGAGCTCGACAGAGCCGAGTTCACCCTGCCGGCCCCATCGGCCCAGCTTCCGTGTGCAGCCCATTCATGATGAAGCCACTTTTGCCAGCTGTGAGCTCAATGGTCCATCGCGTGCCACCAGCACATCGCCAGTGAGTGGCCTTCACAGTTACTTATTCACAGTTGCTGATAGTCGCTTTCGAATTGTGTTACTGAAATGTGGTGTTGGGAAGATGCTTTGTTTTGCAGTCACTTGTGGATCGGTATCCAAATAATCATGATTGTTGTCCTGTGTACAGTGAACACACATAAATTGGCAAAAAAGTGGCATCAAGGCAATATACGATGGGCATATTACCCATCTGTAATGTGCTGTGTATGATCATGTCAGCTCTTACTAACAGGACTGCCGTAGCTGATTGAGTAGTTTTCCTGTCCAAATGTCCTCATGGATTACAGCAATAGTAATATCAATGAAACTGCTCAATTGTCATTTGATTGCAGCATGAGTTAGTCATCATTGTGCCATCATGCTCAGCCCACACTCTTCAGCTGCAAACTGAATGGAAGGGCATGTGCCCAGACCATGCGGCCACGTTCTTGGGACTGCAAACTGGCGATTTATTCCCTCATCTCTTCCTGGCCTTTTGCATTGGGCACCCAACGAATAATGGATCAAACAGTACTGAACGTCACTAACTGAGGATCAGTAGTTGCAGAAAGAGAGAACTATATCGGCAGTATAAAGTTCTGCTTGGTTAGGGCTAATGCCAACATGTTTTCGGGATTGCAGTCCGGCGCCTTTTTTGACCACAACTGGTCCGAGTCGACAAGTCCCAGCACGAGCTGCACAGGCTGCCTGCAGGGGACGATGTTTAGCGGGGCTTTGGACGTTGGTGGTGAGGAAGTTGGAAGGAGGGAAGAAGGAGGTGGAAGGGGAGAGGAAGGTGGCGACATCCAGAGGGTGGACTCCCTGAGCGACGTTGGGAATCTGGTGGGGGGCGAAGAGTGGGAAATGATTCCGTTCTTTGTCTTCTTGTTTGCATGATTTCTGTTTTCTCTTCTGTTGTCTCTTTTTGTTGTCTTTTACCTGTAGTGTTTCCAGTTTCTGCTTGCTTTCTTTCCTTACCATCCATCTTGAGTTGCAGTACTGTTGCTTGGCAGTTCAGAACAAACTATTGGGCAAAGAGGTGCCGCAAGTTGTAGAGCTAATTTACTTGGTTTTATGGGGCAATTTTATCTGAGAACATGTTTCGTTCTGATTTTGTTTGTATGCGTGGTGATAACTATTTTCTGTTTTGTAATGTCCGCTGGTTTGTTTTCTGTTAATTTATTGTAATCCCTATTTAGTGCTGCCACCACAGGTCGAATCGAACGATCTTTTCAATTACCAGGGGCGGACGTAGGCCATCCAAACGGAAAAGCAGACGTGTGCACACCATTATGTTCTCCAAAACCGAAACGTGGACGTGTGTCATATGTCGGGGTTTTGGAAACGGGAACATGAACGTGCCCAGCATGCTTGAGTTCAACAAATGGAAATGTGGACGTGGACATGGACAAAACATTTCAGATACTGAAACATCAGCGCCAATGTCAGGCAATGCTGCATTTCCAAAACTTTGACGAAAAGAGTCCGGCGGGTGGGCATCGTTCACGACCTGCACAGCTGTTAGGTTTGCACATTTCTAGGCGGTGGTAGGCAGCCACACTCAGCTAACTGCACTACAAGTCGCTGGGAGCCAGGGGCGCTTATGCCACTCAAATTGGAAGCGCAGATGCGTACACCACATGGGGCTTTCTGGAACAAAATGTGAACGTGTATGGCACCTGGATTTTCGAAATGGGAACAAAATGCCTGCGTTTTTGAGCTTGCAAAGCTACAATGCAGACATGCCATTCATGTTTTGCTGATGTTTCGGCCTGAGCAGAATGTTTGCACATAAAACTATGTTGTTTGTGCCCACCTCCATCAATTGCATTACACTAGTTGGAAAGCTGCTGCTTTAGTCTATATGTTTAGGTAGTTCTGTGGATTCCATGTATTAGAAAACTTTTCAATATATTAGAACCCTATTCCATCTGCTAGGCATCTATCTACTGAAGTACTACAAGCAATGGATCAAAGCCATTGACAATAATAACTTTGTCGTGCAGTCCCAGGAGGTGACTGAGGCGGCTGCCCAGGAGGTTGTGGGGAAGAAACAATTAGTCATTGACACTTCCAAGAAGTCGACATCGCCATTCATGAGACTCGAAGATTTCGATGGACCCATGCCTGGAGGCGGCAAGAGCACGGAGGGTGGCAGGTAGGCATGTCCAGGGTAATGTGTAGCTATTTTGAATAAAGAGATTTATTGATTGGAAGGAAGCACCTGACCGGTGACCTTTCGATCAATTCAACAATGAATCCAATTAAGAAATGGCAGATTTGTTCACCACATGCTTGATCGAAGTTGTGAGAAAATGACATATGTTTTGTTTCGGCTTATTCGTGCATCTTCTGCCCCAACTTGATTGACAGTCAAGAATGGGACATTCAGCTTGGAGATGGTCTCAAAAGTACTGCAGAGAATGGGGGACAATGCAGATACTCTGGATCAGGGCGGGGTGGGTGGGGAATTATCCCCTGTTCTCTACGGCAATAACATCATTGTCATAAAGACCAAGTCAACATCCCTTGGGAACAGCCCTAACCCTTCATTGAACTGCATTGCACTGGTCCCAGCAGCTGAGTGATAATGTCTGCGAACTACTACCACCCACATATCTTCTGGGCATGCAGCACTGTGTACATTGTGGTCGAAGAGCTCATGGTGCAGCAGGGCCAAGGCGCCATGGCCTCCAGGCTTGAGAGCTCCCTTCAAGAGAATGGAAGGGCACTACCTTGCTCATTCCTTGTTGGCGGACTTGCCTATCAAGCATTCTTATCTGACAAGAATGGCTAACTTGACGAGCTGGTGGCAGTTCACTACTGGTAGTACTTAGTTAGGTACGTTGTTACCCTGGCTTTCGCTGTAAGTGTATTCTCAAGCAGACCCTATTTTATACTATATATTCTGCTGGCGATGAAATTTCAGCACGCAGGGAAGGGGAATCAAGACACAGCACAGGGCTGGCATCGAATTCTTTGGCAGACCTTGTTTTGCCAAGCTTTCTGCGTTTTCTGCAGGACTGGTGGTGCAAGCTTTTCGTTCCCTGTGACGCCCCAGTCGGAGGAGATCGTTTCGTTCGTGTCCGTGGACACCCAGGCGTCCGCACCCTTCAATTCCCTCACCATCGAGGACAGCGTCTTTTCACCCTTCCTGCCCAGCGAGCATGGCGGGCGGCAGGTGGGCGCGATTGGACGGTGGCTTGCGGCTTGTGGGTGACGCATCTGCACAATTTTCCCGTTCTTTTTCAGTGTTTGAGGGGCACTTCAGGGCATTTTTGTGCATTGTTTGGCCGCTTCTTGGCATTCCAAGGGGCACTGTAAGGGCCATTCTTGATGTGTATCTTAGAGGGTGCTGCTTAGTGCTTGCTAAACTTTCAGTGCGCAACTAGGCGATGATTCGCTTGTGAATCTTGGAGATGCTGGAAGATAGAGGCGACCCCTTTCGCCTTCCTGTCCAGCGAGCTTGACAGCGGGGAAGGGGTGAAGAAAAAGCTCTGCCAAGTGTTTTGGACATCTTTTGACTATTTTTGATTTTCAAGGGCCTCTTCATGGCAGGGAGAGTATGTTTTTGCTCCATTTCCAGCCATGGTGGGCTCAGCACATTGTACAGTACATGGCCGTGCCCCTTTTTGCATGCGCGCACGGCAATGCATACAGTCTGGCTGGGTGTTTGGTGGGACAGTTGGACATTGGTGCTTCAAGGGGGCACAATTTTGGTGCGTTTGGGACTGCTACTTGCTTTCGCATGTACTTACTGAATTGTTTGCTTGTTGAATCACTCTATCATGTGCTTGCTAAACTGTTTGGTTTCCTAATGACTGTGGGCGATTGAGATGTGTCAGTTTCGCCTCTGGTGCCAATTCAACACGGCATGCGTTGTCGTTGACCACTTTTCTCTCTATTCACCACTTGATTGATATCTCTGTGATTGTTAACCTGTTTTATCTCTTTCCATCTTATGAACATACATCCTCCATTCTCTATTGCAGCTTTATTCGCTTTACTGTATTTAATTTCATCTTTTGCTCGTAGAATCCCATGCTTCTGTTTCTCTGTTGACAGAGAAATAGAAAGCAGATGAAGCAAACGTTTTTCTTGTTTTGAGCTGATCATATGCACCAAAAATGTTGTTGTATCTTGTTGGCACAGGCATCAGGCTGGAATTCGCCCGATGCGGCTGATGGCCCAAGCGGTGGGCATCCATCTACTGATGTCAGCCGACCAGAGGAGGCAGGTGGGAAAATCACGTTACTACGCAACTCTGTTTTGAGAAACGGTGGCACAAGGTTTAGTTCTTTGCAGCATCTTGCTGCAGGGGTATTCGTGGTGACTGCGTATACTGTATAAAGATGCGATACATACAAGTGGAGGTCAAGCCGTGTACAAGATCCGTGCCAGCCATTCAGCAGTGGGCATGTGTGCCGATGAACAAGTGACAAAGTTTTGTGAAAAAAAAGTCGGCTGACAACACTGATGGATAATTACATTGATTGGAACAATTTTCAGTTAGTAAATCGTTCTTGAGTTTTTCCATTGCAGATGAGATGCATTCAATTAGATGCATTGACAGATGAGATTACATGGCCTCCATGGCATGCAGGAATGCGGGAATCCTTCCGGGGATCCTCCGAGATGGAGTACTCGCCATCTGGCTTTCTGGAAGCTTTCCAGCCTCGCACCTCCCCAGATGCCTCCCACCAGCACAGCTTTCCAGAAGCTTCTCAGCATCGCGGCTATTCGGAAGCTTCTCGTCAGCACAGCTCCCCAGATGCTTCCCAGCAGTATGCAGGGGGCGGCATCGTGGATGACTCATGGGAGGTCATCAACCTGAAAATATATCACAAGAAGGGCGCCACGGGATTTGAAATGTCCAAAGACCTTCAGGCAGGCGAAATTTGCTGTAAATTGATTGTGTTGTCAAATGATTCTGTTGTTGGAATTGATACTGTTCTATTCTGTCGTATGCTATGTTTGTGTATTGTAAATGTGTATGTCGTGGAGCATGTGTCGATGTGCATTATGCATAAGTGTACATGAACATTGTATCAATGAGCATTGTAGCATTAGTGGTGGCAATAGCACTGGCAATGGTGACGATGCTAGCAATGACTTTGTCATTGCGCCACATCGCATGACTCCGTTGACTGCAGAAATGTGGCGCACAGTCGAAATAGTATCACAGAGGAATTCACACCTTCAAGCGATGCGAGTGCCTCGAGCAAAGGGATTTGGTGATCGCATGCCCTAAGGCAAGAAGTTAGCTAGCCCCTTGGATGCATGGTTGTGCTCATGCAGCATCGTTGTTCCTGCGGTTCCAGATGTTTTTTTTAAAGGAGCAATAGGCTAAGACTGCCATACAGTAGCATGTAATAGTAATTGAATTTCTTGCGAACAAAAGCAACTCCAAACAGCACCAATGCACAGTTCGCTTGGGTTGCAGCAGTACCTTGGCACCTTAACGCAGCAACAGCACTCCAGCACAACATGTCTGTGGCTGTTTGTCATGAGCAACCACAAATGTACTTTGCTGAATCCACTGTGATGTTATGAATGGGAAATTACGGTGGTGTTGGCGCTGTCCTTTGCGGTGGTGCTCAGGGCCAGAAAGCGCCAGTTCCTTAGTGTGGTGCCTTGTTGCGCAGGTACGGCCGGGGAACATCTTGGCGGGCCGCTACCGCGTGATCAACGAATTGGACACAGCGGCCTTCAGCTATGCGGTCTCAGCAGAGGACCTGCAAGCTGGCCAGTATGTGTGCCTCAAAATAATCAAGGTGCGCATTTGTCACATTCCAAGTTTCACGAATTTTGCTGTGTTAATGATTGGGGCATGGCTGATTTGCATTAATGGCAGTGAGTTGTTGGCAGTCAGGTGTTGATGTGGGTCAGTCTGGCTTCCCGCAGACAGTTTGGCTGACTGATTGAGAATCAGTTTTTCAGATTCTGCAGATGCGATCCCAACATCGACCAGCGCACATGTCATGTGTGCAAAGCAGTATGGGTGCAAAACTGCGAAGATGATTGTAGAGATATTAAAACATGTGTACTTCCGTACAACGTGCGCATATTGATGATTCAATAGCTTCGGCTAGATTCGACTCAGAATGGCGTAGACCAGCAACTGGGTGCATGAACACTTAACTTGTCGATCAGTTTACTTTGTTATTGATGTGTGAGTCATTCCCGTGTGGCCAGAACAATAAGGACTACTTTGATCAGAGCCTTGACGAGATCAAGCTGCTGCGGATGATCAACAACCACGATCCGAACAATGAAGCAGGCATCGTGTGCATGTACGACTGCTTCTACTACAAGGTGACCCAGCAGAGAGCGAAGCATTGCGCCAAGTACTTGCTTGCGAACTGTTATGCGCTGTCCAGTGCTGAACTCCGCATTGCCCTGTGACAGCTGTTGTGCCGATACATGATTTGCTTGTCAATGCTGTGCAACGCACTGTTTCTGTGGTGTGTATTACCACACTGCACTGCAGTGCACTGTACAATGGCATTATTGCACTCTAATGATGGCTACTGTCCAAAAGTGACCAAACATGGCACCTGCAAGGTGGCATGGGAAGTGAGTCCGAATGCCCATTGTCCAAGTCGCGACCCCCAAAGATGCCAAATGATCCAACAGACCAGTAGCCAATCGCCCCAACCTGACATGATCAACATGAGTGATTTCTTCATTTGTTTTCAGCTCAATGGACATAATGCCATGCACCAGCGGGCCTCGCCATGGGCCTACCCTTGTCCTTCGGTCCCCCGATCTCAGCAGCCCGTTTGGTGCCAACTATCACCGGCAGAGTATGAAACCTTAGTTGATTTCCAAACACCATTAATTAGTTAATGAATCGATTGATACGTTGATTAACTATTTAGTGAAGCAGTTTTCTCTGTAGCTCTCTGTAGTTCTATACACTTCTGTACAATTCACTTATGCCCACTTGCGTTTGCGATTTTCCTGCTAATTGCGGACTGCACCTGGCCCTCCAGGAGCACCTCATCATCGTGTTCGAGCTCCTGCACGCCAACCTTTACTCCATGCACCGCCGGTGCCTGCGTTTGGGGCTGCCCACCTACTTCTGCCCGCCGCGCATCCAGACCATCTCCCGACAGATCCTTAAGGCCACAGCCTTCCTGCACTCGCTGGACATCATCCACGCAGACCTCAAGCCCGAAAACGTCCTCATCCAGTCACTGGACCCCTGTCGCATCAAGGTGGGTGTGTTGACTACCCCTTTTGCACACCTGGTTGAACTGCAGCATTTTTGTTGATGAAATTATTTAGATGTGCCGCTCTTTTGCACCTCTAATCTGTACCGCCAATGTGCACTATGATCAGAACACATGCATGTGTCACGCATATCACACACAGCAGAACATACCAGTATGTAGCATTATCAGCACCATATGGTGCACATGGGCGTTTAGTGTTAATGTTCAGACGTTTTATTTTGTTGTCCTTTGGTTTGTGATTGGTAAATGACTGGCTCAACCAGTGGTTGCTTGGAATTATTTTGCTGTTCCGTTTGAAAATGCTGGGTGGCAAGCGGAGAGCTGGGGATGGCAAAAGCACTGTGGAAGGAAATCGTTTTGTTGAGGTAAGCCAGAAATGAATCTGAAAATGGAGGAAACAAAATACACGTTAATTGGGGGGGATAAAATAACTGAGGATACAAGTATGGTGCTGATATGGGACCCTCGTGGTTCACAACACACCATTGAATTGGGAGAAATGGCACATCCAATCCAGAGCGCGCGAACACACGAATAGGTTGAAAATCCAGGCATAATGGGCAACTGCTGTAATGACGTGGTGATAAACAAATGCTCTAATTGTACGATCAATGAAAATTCAGCAGCACTAGGCTCTCGGGTAATTCTATGTGAGCAAGTTAGTTTCTTTCACAGCGCAACGAACCGCCCATTCAGCCCAGTCTGCCATGAACGCTGCTGGATGGCTGTGGTCAAGTTCGCCACAACGCAAATCAATCGAACTCAGCGCAAAAACCATACTTCGACTCTAAAATCTCAGGCTAGTCCAGTGTTTCCCGTTTTGGGCCGACTGAGGGCGCCAGTGTGGGCCACCGCCAGATCATCGACTTGGGATCCTCGTGCTTCACAACGGACCACCTTGGTTCCTACATCCAGTCCAGGGCGTACCGCTCTCCCGAGGTCATTTTGGGGCTGCCGTACTGCGAAAAGATCGACGTGTGGTCCATCGGGTGCGTCGTTGCGGAGATGGCGACTGGCTACGCGCTCTTCCAGGTGCGGCGGAGGGAACCATTGCATTATGGCGCAGTTTGCATATAATGAAGTGGCGCGCTGCTCTTCTGCTTGTTATACATAGTGGCGTGTGTGTACGTGTGCGTGTACATATGCGTGACAGTTTAGAATACCGCAATCTATTTGTACATCGACCATTTTGTGTTTTTGTGTCGAAAACCATGTTTTGCCATTCCGCTTTGTGCCATGCGTTGAGGTGTTGGCCGTGCGCAAAAGAAAAGTTGCAACGTGGAAAACTCTCATGGCTGAAACGACTGGTGTGACTTCTCACGAAAGGGGGGCAGTGGACGCACGGTTGTGTTATCCTCAGGACTTCGTTTTGTGTTCCATTTGCTTGCGGTGTTTCTGCAGAGAGGGTTCGACGCACCCCTTTCCAAAACCCCCATTAAATCACACCAATATTTCGGGGTGCCTTGTCTGCCCATTTTTTTTTCTTTTTGTGCAGTTTTCCTGTTGTGCACCCCTCCATATTATCAATGTACTGCCATGTACTACAGAGTTGACATGCCCTATGTACTGCCCTGGTTCTGTTAACAAGATTAATGGGGGGCTGAGGCGCGCTTTTCTGTGGTGTTTCTGGCAGAGCGACTATGCAGCCGGGGTGCTCGCGTGCATGGAGAGCCTGTTGGGCCCACTGCCCGCCCTGATGCAGGCGGAGGGCAAGTACAGCGCAAACTACTACACGCGGTCGGGGCGAATTTATCACCAAAATCCCTCCACCCAGCAGTACGAAGTACTGCAGCCCCTGCCCACGGATCTGAGAAGCTGCCTGGAAACTGACGACCAGCTGTTTCTGGATTTTCTGTCGTTCCTGTTGGTAATGGATCCTGCAGAGCGGCCCTCCGCCGAAGAGGCGCTTAGACATCCTTGGCTGCGGACCGAGCTAGGGTGCCCGCCCCAGGTGCCACCGGGTTTGTGAGCAAATGTACGGCAGTACATGTGGTCAGCACTGCGACTGGCTTTATGTGCGGCCGTACATTGAGGCAGCACTTTCTGGACTTGTGTATTGAGCGTTTTGCTGTTTGTCCAAGGATTTAAATTGAGGCGAGTGCAACTGGAGGACTGTCGTGATGATTAGTTTGAAGGCAGTGGGTGGAGGCAGGGGAAATGTGCTCCAAAACAGTCGAGTTGATAATATATTAAAATGCGGTTGAATGGGGTTGAACATGGTTGGACTGTGAATAGGCTGTGTGTCATGACCTGGTTGACATTGTTTCGTGGACATCTGTAGACGAGGCGGCTGAATTAACAGCACCACGCAATGTGCTTGAAGGTTCTAGGCCCTGGGAAAGTGGCCGGAATGGAGGCAATTTTGTTGGGCCCCTGGGTCCAATATTATTTTCAGGGACTCCATAGATTGGTGAAGCGCTTTCTTTTGCCATGGGGCGCGCAATGCGTCCTTTGATGGATTGAAAGCGCTTCAGCCGTTGGGGCCCTTGACCCAACTGAAACATAATTAGGTCAATATCTCAGGCATGTTAGGGCTGTGTCTGCGGCGTGGCGTGCAGGAAGCCTCGCTTAGGTCCATTTGGGCCGGAGAGGGGCATCACTACATTGGGGTTCGGTTGTCTTGGGCTGACGTGTGCACTGTGACCACCCTCAAATTGTTTCGTTGCAGTATTTTTTGTCTTAATTTGGCCTTTTGTGCATTTTCTTGAAAGTAAAGGAGGACAGACGTGAACGGTTTCGGTGTACAAGGGCAAGCTGTTTAATTGTGGAAGTTGTGGAATTGTTGCGAGAGAATTATATCAAAAATTGACGGAAAAAACATGATTTCTGCCTCACCGGTCTCCTGAGCCCACCCGATTATGTACTCCCCCATGACAAACACTTATAATCAACAGAACAACCAATGTAATGTACATGAGGTTCCCATCCTTTACGTTTGCCCTTCGCTTTGCTAGTACTTAACGCCATTCAATGAGTGACTCACCCCATGAGTCAGCTCCCTAGTCCCGTACTTCACTCCTGAAGCGCCTCTCCATCCCACAGCTAAACCGAACACCACTCTCGAGGGTGGGAGGGCTGGGTGCGAAAGAAGGTGAGGAGGGGGACTGAGGGGAGAGCCTAAATAGCCGCCCCTCTTAGCTCCATCAAAACCCTCCAAACCTGAGGGCGCCAAGGTTTGTGGCACCTTGTATTTTCATACTTTGACTGACCCACGGTACTAAGGTGGCCAGAAATCCCAAGGGACGGGGAGTGAGTAAACCCCGGGTTCAAAACTGCGCCCTTAATCAACGGTGCAGCCCACCCATCGTCGCCCTTGGCAGAAACCTAATAACATGATAGTTAATTCCATTTCTGCCTCACCAGTCTCCTGAACCCACCCATTCATGTATGCCCCCATGACAAGCACTTACAATCAACAGAAAAACCAATGTAGTGTACCCGAAGTTTCCATCCTTTCAGTTTGCCCATTCACTCTCAGGGGGAACTCGAGGCCACTCTGGGGCAGAAGATGTGCCCGAATGCTCATGCAGATCACGGGCGGTGATGGTCATCCAAACAAAAAGACGAAAATCCGACTCAGTGGGGGAATGGAAATATCAATGTACGACCACATCAAGTCCGACTTCTACCCAACCCAATCCCTGATCTGCTGCTCCGCGACTTCCAAGGCAAAGCAATTGGAAGCGCCTCTGCTGCGCAGGTCATGGTGCGTAAAAGGCTCCCTGGCGATGCTTGGTTCCTACTCCAACAGGGACGAGAACTAGGCCGCCACCATCTTGGAAGTGGGGGAGGCGTCGCCGGGCAATCGGTAGAAATAGCAGGGCGGTTGATCCATCTGCGCCCAAGCTTGGTCCCCGTAGGCCATCCAATGGCGAACCAAAGCGACGACCTCCAGGCCCCCCCGCAAACACCGCGAATGATAGCACGACTGGGGGGCCGCATCTAAGTGCAACTTGCGCTTGCGTTCATAAAAAAGGATCACCCCGTCGTCGACCTAGATGTCCTCCACCAAAACGAAATGGCCCGACTGCGCCCAATTGAAGAAAATAGTCAATGAAGTCAATGTGTGCCACACAAGCCGCCCGCAGCAGTGCCCTGTCCTTCGTGGTTAAGCCGATGTTGAGGATGCGGAGAAGCATAGTGATGGGCACCATGCAGTGATGTTGCACCGGGGCTAGGGCGGCCCGTCGCCAAGCACGGATGAGGATTTGGGTGATGGGGTCAAAGGCAGAAACCTGAGATGGCCGGCCGTATGATGCATCATAGAGATGGCCGCTAGGTATTGGGGAAGGGAGCGGATCCCCACCTTCCCTTCATCGTGTAGGAAACGAATGTTCTGCAATACCGGTCGCTAACCCCCGTGTTTCGCACGACAATACGTATTCACGGTTTGGTGTCCATCACCTCACTAATACAAGACCCGTTCGGCGACCCACTTGAAATGTGCCCCATCACACTGGAGCACGGTGCAGCTCCTCAGGAGCGAAGGCGTGGTCATGCCTTAGTCACCCACGGGCGGATAACGCCCCTCCGGGGCAGAAGATGTGCCCGTACTGCGCGTGCAAGTCGCGGGCAGTGATTGTCATCCAGCCAAACAAACGAAAGTCCCATTCGGACGGCAGCCGGTACACGTCAATGTACCTCCACATGACGTTACTGCGCCACTCCCCCCAGGCGCGGATGCGGCCCTCAGGCACCTCCAAGGCGTAGCAGGCACTGGCGCCCCCACCGCGCAGGCCATGGTGATCGAAGGCCGCCGGGGGCGGCGAAGGAAGGGCGCGCTGTAGCAGAGGAAACCAGCCGGAAACCGTCCGCGCGGAGGGATCCTGCTCACCAAGGAGCATGTAGAAATGGGTGGGGGAGTCGCCCGCGTCTGCCCACGCCTTGTCCCGGGCTGCCGACCAGCGGAGGAAGAGGTCGATGATGGATGGCGCGCCGTCCGAAGGCCAGGACTGGCACCGGATATGCGGGTCTGTAGAAGCCGAAAGCTTGGTCCAGCGTTCCCAGAAAACGAGTAGGCCGTTCTCCACACGGAGGTCGTCAAGGAGAACGAGATGGCCACTCTGCGCCCGGTTGAAGAAAAGGAAATCCAGCATCGCCGAGCACACAGCACGGAGCAGCAGCAAATCGGAGGTCGCCAAGCCAAGGTCCAGGATGCTCTGCAGAAGATCCGTCGGAACCGGCTGATGAGAATGGGCCGGCTCCGGTTCTTGCCACCTCCACACGCGGGTAAGGCGCCGGGTGATGGAGTCGAAGGCGGAGAAGTCCAAATGGCCCATTGCTTGGTGGACCTTCAAAATGGCAGCCAGATACTGTGGGAGGCTGCGAATGCCCACACGTCCCTTCTCCCGTAAGAACCGGATGTAGCGGTAGATCGTCGAAGGCCGTGCGGGAAGGCTGGCCAAGTCGTGCGCCTCGCAGAATGTAGCAAAGCGGGTGAACTTGGCATGCATGGATCGGCGGGTTGACTCGGTATAAAAGGAAAGGAATTCAGCC